GGAAGAGTACAAAATGTATTTAGGGGACACACAAACAAAGTAGCCATTGAGATGGAAGATGCATTTCCTGGCACCAATCACGTACTCAACCAGCAGACAAATTATTTCTCTATTCTTCTAACAAGGACAAAGACAAACCAAACAAAAAAAAAAACAAACAAACAAAAAAAGGGTTCCTTGGCAAAAGCAAAAGTCAAAATATATTTGTTGCATTTTCCATGCTACCAACATTTTTTAGGCATATATAACATGACTTAGTCTAATTGAATTATGGCAAATGCTAGGGTTGTTTTTTTTAATTTAAAAATAAATCTGTTCAGAAGAGCAGATGTGCTGCTGAGTGGCTAGGTGCAGGCCTGTTTAGTTTGTGTCACATTACAATTTCTCTTTCTGCCTAAGAACTGTTGTTTTCTCCAGCTTTGCTTTGTTAGGAATTGACTCATGGATAGGCACTTGGCTGGGCAGAGTTATTAATAGGGATGTGAATGTTTAACTGGTTAACCAGTAAGCATCACCCTTAATGAGTTGTGGCTAACTGGTAACTGGTGGGACTGGAGCAGCTTCCCACCTCTTGCAGGCAAGGGGCTGCTCCAGTCCCACATGGGCATGCTGCGGACAGGGGATGGTCTCATCTGGATCAGCCCCTGTCTGGGTCGGGTCCAGGTGCCCTGCAGACAGGGGCTGCACTAGTGTCTGGAACAGCCTCTGTCCACAGCGAGCCCAGGCAACTGTGGACAGGGGCTGTTCTGGCAGGGGATTGGAACCAGTGGCTATTCCCAGCATGGGGCTGTGAGCGTGGGGCTGAGGGCTGCTGCAGCTAGGCTGGAGCGGTCCCGACCCAGATCCTGCTTTGTTGGTTAACTGAGTAAATGTTAAGTTGACCTAACGTTTAACCAATTAACTGATTAACTGGGATTTTGCTTCCGTACGTAATAAAGGTGAAAATTCTCTGCAATGTCATCCTTAACAGAGAACCACCCAGCTGCAAGAGGTTCTCATCGTGCCCACTACTGTGCTAGCAGGAGGAGGAAGTGAGACCCACAGTATTTCTCTTTCTGTGGGCAACACGGACAACACATTATTTCAAAGTGCAATTTTCTAGCAGATAAGCTCCTCGAATTGCACTGTATAATGTTGTTAAGAGAATGGAAGAGGTCCACTGCACAAAGATGAACACACTTGCATGAGTCCTAGGATGGCAATTATTGCAGAGCTATCGAAATGGTTGATGCACAGACTAACAATGTGATGGTTGTTGTGGCTGATAGTGTTGAAAGATCCCATCTGCTTTTCGAGGAACACTGAGAACTTTAGCGAATTAAAAGTACAGTGACCTCCCCACCCATTGATTCTCTAAACTATGAGGAAGATGCGGAGAATGTGGTGGACTTTCCTCTCCAAGTAAGATCAGGCAGGGAGAAAGAACTGTGTTACCTTGCCCCAGCATGAGGAAAGTTTTTATACTTCAGAAGAGGGGCAGGCAAAAGATACCAGTTGCTGCTCTCAAACGCCTCTCCTTGTCAGCAGAAAGAAGAGGTTTTGGCACTTGTATCAGAAGGAATCTATATGTGCAGTGAACCAAAGAGGGACTTGGCACTGTGTATATGAAATGCCTATCACTGGAAACTGAAAAGCCTAAGATTTTTTCTCTTGGGTATCAGCCATAATACCCACATTTACTTCTGCTATATGAAAACAGAACAAAACATCACATTTCCATTTATTTACAGATCACAAACATTTATTATAAGCTTTTTTAAGACCTGCAATATTGTCTCATTAAGTAATTATTTCTTACTGTACAATTAATTACTGCACTAAATAATGCCATTTGCAAGGGAAAAATAGTATCAAACAAAAGTATGTGTGTGTGGGGGGGGGGGGGAGGCGGGATGATTTGCAATGTAGCTGTTTAAATGCCTGTCCAGTAATGGAAGAACCATCTGGCTCTGTTCAATCAATCAAAAACACAGATTCTACTAACTCACAAGTAAGGTCTACCTATTACATTAGAAAGGATGTACAACTCACTGGAATATGGAATTACTAATGTTTTGAACAGAACCTTGGTTAGCTAAGGCTCTGCAGTATGTTAACATTTCATATGTATTGTACTACATAGAAGTGGGGTATCAATTCTACTGTTAAGATTAATTAACTTTCCAGTGTAATCTTAACTTCAGACCTTCCTGCCTTTGAGACATGTATGCATGCAGAAATAATTTTAAAGGCCTGGTTTCTAGTCAAAGGGGAATTTTTGGCAAAGCTGAAGAATTGGACAAGAAGTTTTTGTGACATGAAATGCTAAAAAAAAAATGAGGAATTTCACTTTCTGAACAGTCTGCTAATTTTAATTTTCTAAATCCCAAACTCAAAATAATCCAAAATGATTCTTCTTTTAACCTTAAGAGGACTTAATTACATCTGGCTCATAGGATTATATCTCCTACAGTCTGGGGCTTGCTTTAAAGATTATTTTCACTAAGGGCCTTTGAACACTGTGTCTTGAAAACTTGTGAAATTTGCCATTGGTCTGCAAAGACTGCAAGATGCCTGGTTGTACAGGAGGCTGCAAGTTTTGCTAGCAAACTCATTCACCTTCACGAAGGCTAAAAACTCCACTGGTAAGACCTGTTGTGGGTCTCTTTTCACTTATAATTAAATTACAACAACAGAACATATGAACTACTTACAGCAAGATTTCAATTATTACTGGGCCAATTCATTCCACCCTGCACTCAGATCCTATTGGGGTCCGACCCTCCCCCAGACTACTGGGAGGATCCAAAGAGCCCTGGACATCAAGTGATTCCAGGAGACAAAGAAAAAGAAAACAGGGATGGGTGTGAGAGTCAAAGGGCTAAAACGAGGGAACTGAATAGGAACACCGAGCAGAGAACCTCGGACAGTACCCACTGCCCCTCGAAGGTCTCGAAAGAGCCAGCAGACGCTGCCCAGTGGATTTCTGCCCAGATGTGTGAACCGATGCAGGAGTGGAAATAGGCCCCAGTCACAGGCCCCTCCCTCAATCAGCCTCTGCTCCCTGGTTTTATAAATTGCCATCTTGGTGATAGCCAGGAGGAGGTTGATGAGGAGGTCCCATGACTTTATGGGGCCATGGATGGGGTGTGTGTAAATTAATAGGTATGAGGGGAAGTGCAGCCAAAACCTCAAAAAGAGGTTCTGGAGGAGCCAAAAGAGGGGCTGTAACCTAGTGCACTCAAGCTAAATGTTCACCAGGGCCTCCCTATCACCGCAGAAGGGGCAAATGTCAGGAACAGGGGTGAACCGTGCCAAGTACACCCCCATGCTCACAGTGCCATGGAAGATTCTCCAACTGATGTCCCCGGCGGGCCATGGAACCAAGGAGGAATAGAGACTGGCCCACCGGGGCTATGCACTTAAATACAAGCAAGATAGGGCCCTCTAGGAGAGAAAGGTCTATGACAATATCACTTTGTGGAGACTCTCCTATGTTCCCAGATTACCCACCCAATGATATTTCCTCCTTCCTTAGAAAAAAGGACCTACTCTCAACCTGATCCTTCTAGCCGACCACCCACAATCTTTCATATGGATTCTGATCACAGTTTATATGGGGGGGGCAGGTAGGGAGAGGGGCTTAGATGCATCCAGAAAGACAAACCTTATCTAGAACAAGGATCACATGATGGGGGCAGAGAAGAGGGGATTATACCTATGTAGATGGGAGGGGAATGCAAGGATGGATGACAGGTACTCTTATTTCCCATGCCTGCCCTCTGTGCTTCTGTTATTCACTTCCAAGTCTTCCTCCCATTTCAGCTCTGGGCCCTGCACTCTCTTTAGCTCAGCCCCTCTCAAGCTGATCTGGAGTGCTGGCCTCTTCCCATTGTTCCTGGGGGATGTCAGTCTTAGGATCCTGATTTCTCATAGAGCCATCCCCTTCCTTTTGATACTGGAAACTAGCCAACCAAAACCCTCACTGAGTTTTGAAAAGAAGCCAGCATAGACTCACAGAATCATAGGGTAGGAAGAGCCCTTGGGAGGTCATAGAGTCCCTCCCCCCTGCCCAAAGCAGAATCAATCCCAACTAAATCATTCCAGCCGGTCCCGCCCAGTCCCCTTACACCATACACCTCTGGATGCAGCTGGCACCAGCTCTGCCTGAGCACTGTGCCCAGAGGAAGGCCTGGTGGGATGGCCGGGGGCTAACAGAGCGAAGGGCAGGTGGAGCCTGTGGGCAGGACCTGAGCTGAGAGCACCCAGGCAGGTCACCCAACCTCCTCCTGTAGGGGTGTGAGGTTTATAACTGTTCCCCAGAGGAGCCGCTCCTCCCCCCACCGGCCTCCAGCCCCATCCTAGCCCTGTCTCCAGGGGCTTCACCTCCCCTCCGCTTACCCCTTTTTGTGACTTTCTAACCCCCGCTAAAAAGTAGTCAGCAGAAAGTGAGGACATGGCGAAGGGCAGTGGCTTCAGCAGCGTTACCGAGCATGCTCAGTGCAGCCTAAGTAGCACATTCCTACAGGGCGCCGCTAGATGTTACACACCTGACTCTGCTTCAAGGGCTGGAACTACTATTCCCAGCATGCCCCGCGCGGGCTTCTCCCACCGACTGGGAGGAGACATAACTGCCTCCAGCCGTGCGCACGCGTACTCACCGACCACGCGCCTGCGCAAAGCCCTCTCCTCGCCACGCTTGCGAGAGGCATGCGCGTTTCCATCCCGCTGCTTGCCGCGGCCGTTGCTCCGCGTCTGCGCAGTCCGCTCTTTGCCCTCCCCTGGGGCAGAGGGAAGCTGGGGGAGGCGCATGCGCATTGACAGGCTCGCGGCATTCACGAATCCGTACCCGTCCTTGTAAACGGGCGGCGGAGGCGGAATGGGGCGCGAGGCGGGGCGCGCGTGAGGCCGAGGCGGAGCCGAGCCGCCCTGCAGGCAAGTGGAAACCCAGGGTCAGTGCTGGGGTCGCGTCGGCTGGGCGGGGGCAGCGCCCCCATTTCCCAGGAGTGACTTCCGGGGTGGGGGGTTAGAGTGCGGCCCTCGGGGGTGGGGGGCACCGCCAGGGACCCCTCCCCCCCGCTTCGGGGACCTCCTCCTCGCCCTCCCAGGAGAGGCGTTTGCACCAGGGGCCATCGCCACCTCCTCCAGGCTGCTGCCGCCCCGGGGGCTGTGGCGGAGCCCCGTGTCCCGGCGCAGCCGGGCAGTGACATGGGCCGTGTGTTACAGCCTCTCTCATCGCCCCAGCCCGGTGCCTTCGGGGGTGGGGGGGGCGCGCCTCGCTTTGCACCTGCTGCTCTCTCCCAGGGGTGAGTATCGTACTTCCCAGTGGCGGGTGCCAACTCCCTGCACCCCTCCTACACCCACATGGGGGTGTGCTGTGAAACACGCATGAGAGTCTGTGCTGCTCATAGGGCACCAAAGGGGGAGGACTGTCCTGGTTTTTAAGTGCTACTGGCCTGCGGGTTGGTTTTTTTTTTCCCCCATCCACTTACCCTTTATTTCCTTGAAGTTGGAATTCTCTCATAATTGAGACAAAGCTGCGTTCAACCTCTTTACGTTGTACATGGTGTGCTTGGAAAGTACCTAACAGGCCGTGCACACAATATCAGACGTTGACAGTAATTTGTTGTTACAGCTGTGCATGGTTTCTGTATGGTAGTCCCTGTTCCTAAGTGTTTGTTTTCTGTTAAAGGCAAATACAATGAAAGGGGCAACAGAACACAGCAAGAAAGTACATTAGGCCAAAGAACATCTTATTCTGGAAGTACTGAGATTTGTGGTTATTCTGAGGCGTTTTTACAAGTCATGGGTAACATAAAGAACACTGCCTTCTGTACTAATCTTCCTCTTTTTTAGGAGGGAGAGGGGTTGTCAAATTCCATTGCTGTAATGGAGCAGAGTGGTCTTGTTCACAGAGAAAGTGATAAACAATCATATGTAGCACTTAAATGCTCTTGATCCACTTCAGACAATATACACATACATACAGCATCACTAAAATGCATATGCCAAGAAGCTTGAAGATGGCAGTCAGGTGGCATGTAGTATGGTTCAGAATAACGGGAGGGGAAATTATTAGGGCAATGGAGGTCAATCTCTACTCTCCCAAAATTTTATGGGTTCTTAATAATCATATAGATGTGGATGTAGCCTTTATTGTAAACTTTTGTAATGTTTGACTTCTGGTATAGTAATAAGATGTATTTGTAGTGCTTAGGAGCCAGAGTTATAAATCAGCCCTTCATTGTGCTAGGTACTGTACAATCACAACAAAAAGAACACTGCCTTCTGTACTAATCAGCCTCAGAGTTTTTGCTTTAGGAGTCTTAGAGATTGAGACAACAGATGGATATAGACAGAAGGGGGACAAGTAAATAATGAGACAGCATTGGTCAGCATGTTTGGCAGTAGTGTGTGCACTACTGAGCGTTATCATGTTTTCTCTAGGCATCACAGCAAAAGCAGAGTTTTGAGAAGGGATTTGAAGGTGGATATTTTGCAGATGTTTAGAGATTGGCTTCCCAGTGTTTGGGGCAGCATGAGAGAAATAGTATTCTGGAAAAAACACGTACTTCAGATATTTGGGTCCAAAAGTATGACAATATAGTGTGGATATGGGTTCAGGTTCCAGTTCTGCAACAGGCTTCCTGTGTTGCATGAGCAAGTAACTTAATCTTTTTCTGCCACAGTTCCCCATCTGTAAAATGGGAATAATAAAACCTCCTTTCTCCTACCATTTTACTTGTCTGTTTAGATTGTAAGATTATTGAGTTTGGCTTGCTCTACATGCAATTTTTGTATTTGTAAAACTTTCAGTTAGGGATATATAATTTTTTTATACAAATGCTTAAATTATGTCCCCACTTTTCATAGTATAAAGAGGCCTTTTAGCATTATAATTTATTCCCTTTCATGTATAAAAATAGCTAAACTTGTGTAAAATACTTTTTATATTGAATTAATTGGGTCTACGCTAGATGGGTTAGACTGCTCTAACTATACCAACATAGTTAAAGCTCCTCAACTTTTATATGCAGAGTATGTTTATGCTGCATCTAGCACATTGTGATTCTGATATTAGTTGGAGCTTATAGGCACTAATCTAATACAACTCTAATTTTTACAAGTTTGTTGTTTTTTAAAGTTTATCCACTCTTATGTAAGCAGGCTGGACACCTGCTAACACTCTTTATGCAAAGCAGGAACTTGTAAAAATTAGAGTTGTATTTTTGTACTCTTTTTGTGTAAAGAGGAAATGTCACTACGCATTTTTGCGGTTACCTTTATTTGTTTTTATCTGGGTCATCCCCTAGAAATCAAAGTAATATTTTGGTATTGTAGGTACACTACACTGAATATTCTCATGTGTATTTGGACTTGTTTAGGTTATTGCACAATGATCACTTCCTGCTTTGCATCAAGAGTTTTAGCAGGCAGCCCAGCTCATGCTGGGTGCAAGACCAAACCCTGCTGCAGCTCTGCAATTTAAAAGGCAGTAGGAGCTGGGCAGTCTGTCCCTGGCTCCTACTGTGTTTTATATTGCAGAACCGCAGCGGGGTTTGGTCCCACACCCAGTGCGAGCCAGGTCTGAACTGGGCTCCCTGCGTGTGCCAATTCCTGCAGAGCTGCCTGCCCCTGGTGCTGGTGTTCCATGGAGCCACCAAATTCCCCAATCCCTCTGCTGCTGCCTCTAATAAAGAGGCAGCAGCGTGTAATATAAAGGGGGTTTGTGGGAGCTGGCACATGCGGGAAGCTGGCTTTCCGTGGAGCTGCCTGACCTTTTTCCCACTCTCCCAGTGTGCTAGCTCTCTATGAGAAGCAATAGCATGGGGGTAGGGAGGCAAGTGGGATGCTGGGCAGCCTCTGTCCACGGGTAGTTCAGGTCCCCCTGCTGCTGCCTCTGTATCAGAAGCAGTAGCCCAGGGCAGCAGGTGGGAGCCGGTCTGCTCGGGGAGCCAATTTTTAAACTGGCTCCCCTCGCAGACTGGTTCCTCCTGCCATCCTGTGCTGTTGCATCTGATATAGAAGCAGCAAAGTAGTGTAGCAGGGAGCTCCCCAGGAGTGATGCCTCCAGGGAGAGCATTTTAGTAACTGTGTAAATGCTAAAAATTGTTGCAGCTACACAATTACTAAAATAAACAATATCTAACATCCCTACTTCATATTTTGTTCAAAAGTTAGTCTGAGGAAGTTGTGGAGTGTGTTTAATTGATTATGTTTTATTGATAGGGTTAAAATATATGCAGTGGGAGAAGAAATAAGTATCCATATGCTCCATTTAAAAAATGGTAAAGTGAGAGAGAATATTTTAGAAATCCAGTGGATTACTTGAATCTAATGACTTTTGCTTTTCTTGTTCATTAGGTGTGTTAACTTTTATAAATTCTTTTATAAATTCTATACAGTGTGCTTCATATTGTTGCTAGTCTCCTTCAAACTAATATCAACTGAGAATTCTTTCGCAAGAAGCAAGTGGCTCGGTTCTTAAAATGATTAATTCTGAAATCTGGCAGTTTAATGCTCTCAATTCATGTAGCAACTCAAAGACTTATTGATCGTAGGGTTTATACGGCTTATTTTCAGAACATTCTTGAGATGGCTTTACAAAGTTGTTGAGGAAATGAAATACGATTTGAGGGATGAAAGTTAGGAATGGACAGCTGGGTGGACTTAACTGCGAGCCTCGATGGTTAATGTAACTCTTGAACTGAATCTTGAACTCAAATCCTAGTTGGTCACATAGAGGAACGAATTTGATGTCTTACCATAGTTGCTAGGAATGTGGTAACATTTTCAAATCCTAGTTGGTCATATAGAAGAACGAATTTGATGACTCACCATAGTTGCTAGGAATGTGGTAACATTTGTGGTCTGTTCATAAAGTAACCTAGAAATGGAATAGCAGGGCCATTTGCAGGTCACAAATGAGGTACATTGTTATACCCATCCTGTGCTCTGATTTTAACTAGTGCTTTTTAAATTTTTAGTGTTCTTTAAAGTAAAAGATTAATGTTAAAAATGATTTCAGTTCAGACTTCAGACGCATCTACAGTATAGTTAAACATATGACATACATGCCTGGGTTACACACAGTTTTTGTATCATAACTGCTAGTGGTGTAATTCTGTGTTTTTTGTTTTTTGTGTACCCATCCTGTGCTCTGATTTTAACTAGTGCTCTTTAAATTTTTAGTGTTCTTTAAAGTAAAAGATTTATGTTAAAAATGATTTCAGTTCAGACTCATCTACAGTATAGTTAAACATATGACATACATGCCTGGGTTACACACAGTTTTTGTATCATAACTGCTAGTGGTGTAATTCTGTGTTTTTTGTTTTTTGTGGGTTTTTTTGTTTTTTTGTTTTTTGTTTTTAATTAATAATTAGGCCAGTATAAATGTGCATTTTACCAAGACAGATTTTTCTCCTTTCCATATGGGAATAAGCTATACTAATTTAAGCATGTTTATACCAATATAACTGTTCATGCTGAGAGATCGTGCCATCTGCTTTCGCTATACTGGTATAGTTACAGTGGTACAGCTTTTGGGTGTGGACAAGACCAGTGCTGTTGATACTAATAAGCTATATTCTTTCACTGATAAAATATCCCATAACCCAGGTTCAATCAGTTTAATAATCAAAGATAAATCAGCACAATATAGAGAGACTATACATTACCAATCTCTGGGAAATAATCCTGCAGCAGCTTGTCAAAGAATTATTATAGAAACTGTTTTATAGCCTGCTTGTTTACGGCAGATGGAAAGTCCAAAAATTCAACTGTATTAGCACAACACTTTTCTACTTTCTCTTATGTAGTTCCATAAATTTGCAAAACAGAGATTTCTGTACCAACATGACCAGAACAGTAAGTGGCAGATGGTGCATTTCTCACAAGCATCAGCAGAACATACATCTTATTTTCTTACAGATTCTGTACATGCAGACAACAACACTACATGTACAAAAACAGAAATTGCAACAGTTTTGTTACTAGTAGTTTACCATAGTAAGATTAACAAGAATACAGTTAATAGTTCTGCATCTTAGATTATATGATACTTTATTTGTTCAGTATTAGCACTTTCTTATTTTAGTTGTACAGCACATCTTATTCTGTCAGATTTGTCGTTACAGCTGTAAAACAATTTACAGTAGACTTCCGATAATCCAGAGTAAAACAATTTACAGTAGACTTTCGATAATCCAGAACCTTTGGGATCTAGGTGGTGCCGGGTTATCGCATATGCCGGACTATCAGAAGATACTATAAACTGGTGATATACATATATAAAGTGTTTTTT